GGGGGCTTAGAGAGCTTAGAGTGTAAGAGTCAGGAAGCTTTTGTTCAAACCCCTTTTCCGCCTTTAACTAGCTGTGTGACTTTAGGGAAGTCCCTTAGGAAAGTCTCTGGGCCTCAATTTCCTCCTCTGTAAAGGGAAGGGATTGGAGCAGATGAACTCTAAGGGACCACCCAGTTGTAACAACTTCAGAATGTGTTGTTTATTTCCTGTCCAGAGGAGAACAGGTCAAGCTCTTCATGGAGTGTCAGACAGAAACAAAGTCATCAATTGCTGGTGCATGCTCGTCTTGTCTTTTTTCCTTCCAAATCAACCGAGGTTGATAAGCAGAGCAGGGAAGACCAGTGAATGGAAGCATCTGCTCCACTGTGAAGGGTGACAGATGATGATCTGTTACTATCACTAAGGCTGTGTGAAATTAGTTTGGCTTATGATTGTCAGTAGATCTGGGCAAACACTGGGCCTGGGTTCCTGCTCTATAGAAATGGGGGATGTCTGGAGATTCAATTACATTATCATTTATCAACAGGCGCTAATGGATTTCCTTAAAACACAAGGTATTAGGGAGCTTTCTCAAGTTGCCTTGCACACAGAAGATGGTTAATAAATGTTTGTTGAAGTAAATTGCCAGTCAGGGTAACGCAGACCCTAATGAACATATTGGCTCATTACTTTTGCTGCTTGCTCACATTGGCCTGGCTCTGATCTCCACCTAATATGGGAGATGCCAGCTAGCTATCAGGGCTCTCCCACCCCTGAGGAAGCAATGGGAACTGGCCAGAACCTTCTGATTGCTGACTTTCTGGGACTCCCTTGGCTCTCCTGTGTCACCCAGTTTCTAGAGCTGAACATGGCTGCTGCTGCTACCATTTTGGGCAAAGATGCTTGAGGTGAGCTTTCTGAGGAGTTGGCCATCTTGTGGGCATCAGGGAAGCAGATGATGTTTCAGGCTGGACTAGCCAGTGCCCAGGAATCCCTTGGCTTACAGGCCAGGGTCACTTCCCAGACTGATCCCATGCGCTGGCAAAGAAGGGGTCTCCTTCATGGGCCACCTCTGACTGCATTTTTTTCTTAACCTTCTATTGCTTTTAGATCACCTATCCTAGTCCAAACTCCTTTTGATAAATAAAGAAACTGAGGCCTGGAAGAGGGAAATGATTTGTTTGAGGTCATTTAAGGGAAGGGGAAGGGGATAAACATTTATATAGCACCTACAATGGGCCAGGCACTGTGCTAATATTATCTTATTTGATCCTTATAACAACCCTGGATGGTAGGTGCTATTATGATCACCATTTTACAGCTGAGGAAACTGAGCCTGACAGAAGTTCATTGACTAGCCCAGGGTCACACAGCTAATAAGTGTCTGAGGCCAAGCATGAACTGTAATCTCTGTGACTCAGGCCTGGCATTGTCTCCACTGTGCCTCGAGTGAGTTAATTTCAAAGTATTCTGTCCATTATGCCACACAGCTGGCAGCTAAGCTGGTAAAGAAGTTTTATCCAGTGGGCAAGGCCCTTTGCACTGAAAGAGTGAGCTCAGGTGAAGCCTCTTTCACCAGCTATTCACTCGACAAGTCTTTATTAAGCACCTACTAGGTGCTAAGCTGTAGAGGTACACAGAGGACAGTGGTATGGGATCTGGTCCCTTCCAATTCTCAAATTCTGTGATTTTATGAACTGAGGTCTCCTATTACAAATTATGGGCACTTTCCACTGTACCTCATGTCCTCTGACTTTGAAGGTTGATATAGGAGGCTCAGCAGGCGCCCCCCCAAAATTTCTCAGTGTTTTTGAGTCAGCAGAGTCAGCTTTGGAGGTTCTAGACCCATGGACCTGGCTCAGTATACATTCTTTCATTCTTGCTATTTGTAATAAAGGGAGGCAGGATGAAAGGATATTGCCTTTGGATGCTCAGCATTCAGGTAGATCGCCATCACAGTGAACGCCTGATCCCGTGTGAGCTTTGTGATCACTGTTGGGGGAAGGTAGTGTCAGAGATGAGGAGGAGTGCTTTCCTGGTCAAGGACTTAGCCTCCAATAAGTCAGCACTGGGACCAACAGCATGTCATAAAAGTAAAGCTACAAGGAGTATAAACCCCTCTAATGATCGAAAATAGTGAAATTCTCTGCCTAGTCCTATGGAATGAACTTAAAGGTACTGCACGCAGTGATTCCGGGAGGGGCTCCCATGGACTATAAAGTGCATACAGCTCATAAAAAGTAGAGCTCGCCTGGGTCATAAATTCCATTGAAAACAAATATGCTAACTAGAATCGTTAATGAATCATTGAATTAACAGTAATTTGATTAGAATTTGGAAGGGCTTTGGGGGAAAGAGTTAAGGGGCCCCAGCTCTCATCGGAAAGTTGTCCAAAGATGTTTGAGTTGCTGTAATTTTTTTGGAGGGAGAGAGGGAAGAGTGGGGCTTTTTTTTCTGTTGTAGCAGGCAGAGGTTTTCTGTTCACCTCAGGACTCCACCAGACATACCTTAGTAGGTAAGCAGACCATTTGGGCTTGTGTTAAAGCAGTTCTGATTCTCAGCCGCACCCACCTCCCGTTTGACCAGGGAGTTTATTGATTCATAGAAGACATGTACTTCTGTGTCATTGCCACCCTTGGTCTGATTTTGAGCAATGGAGATGCCCATACAACTGTGACCCAGGCCTCAGGTCAGCCAATAGAGGGTGGTACACGTGAGGAACCAGAGTCTTCGGTGAGCAGAATCATCTGCCTTTGAGTCTCTGAGCCATGAATGGGCCCGAGAAGGATGGACACGCAGAGTTGGGTAGAATCCTGGCCCTTCTTGTGTCAGACACCGCATTCATGCAGTTATCAGGAGCTTTGGCTAACTGTCTCTATCTCCATGTCCCATTCTTCACCCCTCTCGCCTTTGCCAAAGGTCTAAGCAGCCAGCATCATTGCTACTGTGATGGGAGCCCTTCTTTCTTAATGGAACACCATTGTAAACTTGTGCATGAACCTCTTTTGATGAGGAACCTCAGATCTTTACTCCCAGAATTCATAAGGCAGGCACAGGGCTGTTCTAAGGGCATTGGGGTGGAATAGATACTAGACTTGGAGTCACCAGGAAGCCTATGTTGAGATCCCAGTTGTGACATTTCATTCACCCTCTGTTTTCTCAACTGTAAAATAGTGACAATGATAACCCGGACTCCCAACCTTCCAAGGCTCTTGTTGTGGACATCACATGGAATACCAATCTGAAGTGATTTACAAACTTGAAGCGCTGTAGAAAGATAAGCTCTCCGTGTCACCCTATTCTGATCTTTTTGGATGGGGTTCAGAAACAAATAGTCTTTGACCAGTTACTGTCCTGCTACCTTTCTCCAATAGCCAATGGTCTGTAAGTGATGCTACCGGTGGGGGGAAAAAATCATTTTTTTGTGATCGAATAAACAGTATTTGGATGTAAGATCACTATCTGTAGGCTCATAAAAACACCCTTGATATGACTTCCTAGTAAACAGAACAGGGGGCAACTGGCCCGCCCACCTCATTTTAATCTCCTCCTCTGCTGTGTCTTTGCATTTTGAAAGCTTTTCAGAAATTCAGAAATTCCTGAAATGCAGTTGGGAAACCACACTGAAGACTGGATGTAGGAAGAACCAAAGAGTTACTTCACTTGCCCATCCAGGTAGAAGGATTCTTCTCAGGGAACACAGAGCATCGTGTCTCGGGAGAATGCAAAGTGGCAGGGGCTGCATCTTCCTCTGGGGTTGCTGGGCTGTACCTTTGCTGTGACTGTAGTTGTCAGGATGAGGGAAGGGCCTCATTGTACAAGGAGTTTGTCTAGCCAGTCCCCCGGAGACAAGGGGCCGTCTGCCACATATTTTGTATAAATTAATATATGCTTGGAACATTGTCTTAGAGATTGACTGGTGATAAGCCAGTCAGTGAAAGTGAGATAGATTTGAACCCATGTCTGGGAGGATTCCAAACCTAGGAAGTGGGTTGGTGGGGGGTGGAGAGTGAAGAAAAAAGGTATAGGCAGAGTGGGGTCAGCAAAGATCCTGGGCCTCAGACCTGAGCAGAGGGGTCCAGCGTGATAGAGTCTCCCAGACTTGACAAGGCCAGACTCTTAAGGCCTGTCATTTGTACACCTGCAACTTGCAGATGTCTAGTACACGCGTCTCTGGAGAATCCTTAGCTGTCTGCTCTGACTGCTTGGTGCCACGTGATGCTGCTCGTCACCGGTGATGCAGCTAAGGAGGTTATAGCCTAAGGAGAAGGCTCGGGGGCCCACCTGGGGGAGGGTATCAGGGGAGATGGTGAATGCAGGCAGTGGAGTCTGGCATTTGGCCTGAAGCCTTGTTAATTAGGCGCTTTGATTGAAAAGGTCTTTCCTTTCACCCTACTCTAGGCTAAAACAAACAGAGATCTCATTTGTGTAAAGGGACAGCTTAATGAGCCAGATGAGGTAACTATATCAATGAGTATTGAGAGCAAGTTTTGCCAGGGATAACTATCATGTGGGTAATTGCATTGCTTATGTATGAAAAAATACCCCTGTCTGCTCCATTTGGGCTAATACATCCGCCTAAGCTGGGGAGAGGAATTCCAAGTCTGGAAAAGACCTTGGAGAGATCTCTTGGGGTTGGTCGGGCCCTTTTTGTGGCTCCTTTGCTGCTATGGGTGGTTTTCTAGTAGCTGAAGAAGGCCCTCCGAGCCCTCTTACTTTGTTCAAGTACTGCCTGAGGTCAGCCCCGGCGGACAGTGCAGGATGGGCCATTTTAATACTTTTAGAAAATGCAGGAGCACTGTCAGGAACACTGGCCTTGGAGTCAGGGGGTGTGAGTTCCCATCTCAGCTTAGCCACTTCCTGGCTGTGCAACTGTTGGCAAGTTGCCTCAGTTTCCTCATTTGTAAAATGGGGTTAATGACATGGGTCCTACCTCTGTTCCAGGGCTGAAGCAGAAGCTTTCAGGAGATGAGAGGCAGGCCCTAAAGTTTTATATCAATATTCTATTCTTTGCATCCCAGATTGAAGATGGAGGCAAAGCTGCCCTGTCCCGGAAGATGAGAATTGGGGACGAGCTGGTGAATATCAATGGTACCCCATTATACGGCTCCCGACAAGAAGCTCTCATCCTCATAAAAGGCTCCTTCCGAATCCTGAAGATGATTGTCAGGAGGTAAGGTGCAAAGAGGCCCCTTGTGCAGGTTTGCCTGGGACCTGAGGCAGTAGCCGTGTGGCTGGTCGCTGGATCTCTGCCGGGTACCTACAATTTGCTGGCTCCCAGTTTGAATTAGGGTAACATGTCTGCTGGAACTAGGGCTGCTAGGAAAGGTTGGGTTCTTAATGAAAAGATTTCCCCACTCCATCATGCACTTTCCCGCCTTCTTAAGCAGAGGCTATTTCTGCATTTGGATAGCTCTGAAGGCTCAGTGGTACATATTGGGACCCCTCTGGGATTCTTGTTCCTCTGTCGGTACATCTGGAACCTGGGAACTCCATCCACCATTGCAGATTTCGACCTGCCTCTGACTTGGGAGATAAATCCGAGGGAGGGGCTCGAGGCTCAGAAAAGGTAGTTTGTCGATGGGCAGTCGTTTTGTAGCCTTTAAATCAGAATTTGAACCTAGGTCATCTTGATTCCAAGCTCAGTAGTTTGTGTGTTAGGCCACGTCTCCTCTTTTTGGTCAGTGCAACTTCTACTCCATGGCTCGAACCATCACCTCCTTCTTTTCCTATTCTAGGAGTAGCACTCTGCCCATCTCATTCTCACCCCATAATTGGCCTGTTTCCTTTCTCTTCGGGGATGTCCTTAGTGCTGCCCTTTCCATTCGGACATTTGAGGCAGGTGCCACTGGGGCTAGGCTCTGTGTGCCTCCCACCCACCCACCCACCATCTGGCTGCTCCCTCCACTGCCTTTTGGTTAGATTGGTTAGAGTTTGAATTCATCTGAGATCAAGACAGTCCAGGATTTGCTCTGCCTTCACCTGGGGTGTCCTGCGTGCCAGGAATAGCCTCCTTCTTCCCCTCGGCCCTCTTAGAATTCATTCATCTTTGCAAATGTCATTTCTCCTAGTAGAGAGTAAACTCCCTGAGGTCAGGAACTACTTCTTTGTGGTTTTGCTACTGTATCCACTGAGCCTGGTCGGGAGGAGGAGCTTAATAAACTCGTTCTGCTTTGAATTCACAGTCCCTTAGTAACATCGTCAGTCCTCGCGACCAGTTAAACTGCACCTCAAGGTTGGCAAAGCCCTTTCTACTATTGACCTCAGTTGACCTCGAGGTGGATCTTCCAGCATCCCCAGGAGAATATCGGCGTCAGACAGCAGCTCTAGGCTGCACTGAGCAGTATGCAGCCTGTCCCTTTGCTTCTGTCTCGGATTTTGTCAAGAATCTCCATCCAGTTCCTCCATATGGTTTGGAAAATCCCTTATCTTCCTTCTTTTGGGAAGGTCCAGCCATGTGGCATCTCTCCCCTAAACAACGGCTTAGCAGTCACAAGGGCCCTGGGCTGTTGCCTGGTGACGGGCCTGGAGACTTAGGTGCATCCAGGATGGCTTTGTGCCCCTTGCCATCTCCTCAGTCATCTTGGTTTTAGTGACCTGTGAAGCCACATGCCCAGTGTGTTGTCCCAGGCTGAAGATGATTCGCCTCAGTTGACAAATCAGAAGTAGAGCAAAAGTTGAGTTGTGTCCCAGAAAATGGAGAAAAAGGAATGTCGGGGCCATTTGGCCAAGTTCCTACAGGACCAGGGATGCCCTCTGCCACATTCCTTACACGTGCCTCCTGCTCCTGCAGCAGCCCTGCCCCTCTGGGTACCCCGCCCTTGCCTCTGGGGCCAAGGAGAAATCGGGGTTTCTTTTGATTCTATTCAGGCGTCATTCCAGCCTGTTGGGATCGCTTTGAGTCTTGATTTGCTCATCCAGTGCCCTGGCGTTCTGTCCCAGCAGTGTGTCTGCAGAAAAGTTGGTCAATGTACCATCTATGCCTTCATTCAGGCAGTTCTGCCTTCTTTTTGTCATTGCTACCATTGTCCTGTCTGCCCCAAGGTGTGGTCCTCTCCCTCCTTTGATCTTTGTCTCACCACCAACATGGCTAAAAAGATCTCAGACCAATCCATTTTAGGTCCTTGGCATTTATCCAAAGCGCCGTTTTGCTCTGGGGGTTAACAGCCTTGATGTTTTTCTCCTTAACCTGTCTGGGATCATTGAAAGCACTGCCTGAATAGGTTCTGGCTCCATCTTTGTCCTCTGCCTCCTCGATTCTGGGCCCGCCTCCTTGTCTGTGGGCAGCTCCTGTCCAAGTTAATGGGCTACCCAGCTAGTTGCATGTGTGGGCGACCTATGCTTTTTATCCACTTTGTTTCTCTGGTACAACTGTTAGAACGGGCCAGTCCTCTCCAGGTTGCAGAGAAAACGTGCAGCTGGCCCATTCATTGTCATTCAGGAGACCTTGTGTTATTCTGGGATTGGATGTGAGTAGAGCCCCAGGTCTTCCTAGAGCAGGCTGTCTACACGGGAGGGGACCCAAGAGCAGGGGCTGGTGTGGAGGGGAAGGCCTCCAGCTCTACACGGAATAGGACTGGACCGGCCTCTTGTTTGGAGCAAAGCGGGGGCAGGGTGAGTTGCCGAGAGACAGATTCTGGTGCTTGGGGAGGTAGTGAGAGTCGAGGGAAGGCTAGAAAGGGCCCTTCGAGGTCACCGAATTCAACCTCCTCATTTTCCAGAAGAGCTAACTGAGGCCCTTCCGACTTACCCAGAGTCACATAGTGTCTGAGGCAAGATTCAAACCCAGATCTTCGGGACTGCCAAGCCTGTTCACTACGCCACCCTGCTCATCTCATTGCCTTTGTTCAGGTCTCTTCTGAACTCCTGGTCAGAGTTCTCTGAGCCCAAGTATCTGCCCCAAGAAGAGACTCTGGACTGCCCTCTCAGGGATGACTTTTTTGGGCTGAGCTTGCCCCCTTGTGGCAGCACTTGGCCTGTGCATGTTGTGTGCGCCACCTTTCAGGACCAGTTTCCTCTTTTGTTTCTTCCAGCTAATTATTCAGCAGCAGACATTTCCGTAGCTAAGTCCTTTTCTCACCACAGTAATGTGGGACAGGTATTGATATTCCCGTTTGAAAGATGAACAAACTGAGGCCTAGGGAATTTAAGTGACTTGCCCAAGGTCACACAGCAGAAATCCTATGGTTTGAAATTTTGAGCCTGAAGGGACCACAGAGGTCCTACAGTTCAACCCTATCATTTGACAGAGATGGAAACCAAGGCCTAGATTTGGGGGGCAGGGGGCGAGGAATAAATGTCAGAACTGAGATTTGAATCCAGAACCTCTTACTCCTAATCCAGAGTTCTTTCCATTATGGCATGCTACTTCTCTTCTGCTTTGTGAATGAGACCACAGTACCCCCGAGGTCCAAGAACAAGTTTATCCTTTAGCTAAGGGGCAAGAGATAGAGCGTGGAAGCCAGGAGTAGCCAGACCACCAGCTGGCATCCTTGGCCCTGGTCTAGTCTTCCATTCACTTAGAATCATTGTTTTGGAACTTCATGTGGTCCAACCCCCTGGAATGTCTAGAGTAGGGCCTGAAGGAATGGATCGAAGACTTCCATTTCCTCATCTGTAAAATGGGGCAGTTGGATTAGTCAAGGGAAGGGAAGGGAATTGCCCAAGGTCACATGAGTTGAAGTGTCAGAAGTGGGATTTGAACCCGGATCTGTTGACTCTGGAGCCAGAACTCTTTTCACTGTACAAAGCTGCCTGCCATGGTCTCAAGTCCTGTGAAAATAATGGCTCATCCTGCTGTCCGTGTGTAGCGGGCTTTTAAAAGTGGCTCATCTGAGTATTGTTGATAACAAGGAAGAATTGGGATGAAATGAGCAAATCAGCATGGTACACCATAGGTGCTTAATAGATGCTTGTGTTGAGGTGAACTGAAAGATGGAGGTGTGATTACAGTTCATGTGATTTGTGTAGAAAGCTCTTGGGCTCCCCCTGCAGCAGTCTAGGCCTGGCCTGGAGGTCACGGTCACGGTCAAGGTCAAGGCCGTCTAGGGCCTTTGCTATGCAGAGATTCCTTTTCCTCTCACTGGTTTTAGTCAGTCAATCGAAAAGCATTGATTAAGTGTCTACTATGTGCCAGGCGCTGTGGCTAAGTGCTGGGGATACAGAAAGAGGAGAAAGACAGTCCCTGGCCTCAAGGGGCTTATAGTCTAAAAGGGGAAACAACATGCCAACAGATCTGTACAAAGTGGCCTATAGACAAGGATCACTAGGAAGTATTAAGAGAAGGCAGACACAGGGCTGAAGAGGGCTTGGGGAAGGCTTCCTGGAGGAGCCGGGATTTGAGTTGGGATTGAAGGAGGCCGGGGAGGTCAGTAGTCGGAGCAGAGGAGGGAGAGCGTTCCAGGCCCAGAGCCCAGAGATGGAGGGGATGGAACAGCCGGGAGGCCGGGGTCACTGGATTTCGGAAGGGGACGCGGGTGGGGAGTGAGGTGTGGGAAGACTGGAAAGGGGGGAGGGGGTGGGGCATGAAGGGCATTGAATGCCAAGGAGACCATCTTGTATTTGCTCCTGGAGGCCCTAGGCAGCCACTGGGGTTTTTGAGTAAGGGAATGACCTGGTCAGACCTGGACCTGTGCTCTAGGAAAATCACTACAGTGGAAATTGGAGTAATTAAAGTGTATCCAGCAAGCCTTTAATAAGTGCCTGCCACATGCAGGTACCATGTTAGGAGTACAGAGGAATACAACATGTAAACCGAGACCAAAGTAAAACAGTCTCTGCCTTCAGGGAGCTTTTGCTCTTCCTCTGAGGGGCCCCAGCGTGGGCCTAAATGTGTACAGTAGAAGGAGATGAGGAGGGAGAGAGCACGGACCCCTGGTGAGGAGTGGGGTGTCCTGCTGGCCGGGCCAAGGCACCTTCGCTAAGCTTAGAAAACAGACGGGGCTTCTCTGAGACATTGCTGAGGATGTGCATTCCCGGCAAGGGCCCAGCTTGTGGAAAGGCAAAGGCATGGAGGCAGGAGAGAGGGAGTGGGGAGAGGGTCAGATGTTCAGTTTGGCTGGGGTCAAGGGCTTGCAAAGGAGAGTCACGTGGAGGAAGGCTGGAGGGGTGAGGCAGAGAGGGAAGCCTTTAGAGAGGCCGTGATCAGATCTCTGCCTTGGGGAGATGCTTCTG